TTAGGCTTAGGGTTTAGGGTTTAGTAAGGGTTTAGGGTTCGGGCTTTGGGTTTAGGGTTTAGTAATGGTTTAGGGTTTAGGCTTTGGGGTTTAGGGTATGCGGTCTTCAGCACTGACACGAAGACACTCATCAACGACCTTTTGCCTTAGTCCCTTTCCTTTTGCTCCATGCAACCCAGGAATGCGCCGTGGAATTCAGGGAAGATGTGCCTCTCGGATGCGCAATGGCTACCATCACGACAAGTGCATATGAGTTTCGGTTTAGGGTTTAGGGTTTAGGGTTTAGGATTTGGATTCGGGTTTTATGATAGGAGATAATGGACGCATTGGAAAAGGTATTTCCCTGAGACTCCAATTCATGCAGGTATGTGTACAGGCCATAGATTCAGATAGTGCTGGCCAGGGGTTGCTCTGAGTCCATGGATAACCCTAGTGCAAACACTCACCTGAACTATGGGATATGCCTTGAATAAGGTCAGGGATGCCACAGAAGTCCTGCAAAGTGGTTTGCTGGCTTACTATTCGCGATATCCCCATTAGATGTTCTCGATGAACGCCCGGCCAATGTAGCATGCTTGATGTTCACCCTGTAGTTTCTGCGTCATGGTGGCTATCGCCATCATCGCAGGGGTAATCCTTGTTTCACTTCGAATCAGCACACCCGAGCATTCAGGGAGAGGTGTCCCCCTAAACCCCTAAACGCTAAACCCTAAACCCCTAAAACCTAAACGCCAAACCCTAAACCCTAAACCCCTAAACGCTAAACCCTAAACCCTATAAAGGCCTGCATTGATTCTCCAAGTCCCAATCTTCACGTTACTTGCAAGAAGGAATATCTACCCTAATTCTCATGGTTTAGGGTCCTTAAGGAATATACCCTAATTCTCATGATTTAGAGTCCTTAAGGTAATGCAGGACTTATATTATCAACAGGAATATACCCTAATTCTCATGGTTTAGGGTCCTTAAGGTAATGCAGGACTTATATTATCAACAGGAATATACCCTAATTCTCATGATTTAGGGCCCTTAAGAAGGTAATGCAGGACTTGTATTATCAACAGGATTATCTACCCTAATTCTCATGGTTTAGGGCCCTTAAGAAGGTAATGCAGGATTTCTGCTATCAACAGGAATATACCATAATTCTCATGGTTTAGGGCCCTTACGGTAATGCAGGATTTACATTATCAACAGTGGCTCACTTGAGAGCTGCCAGCCTTTGTGACCACTGGCCCTCGGGGTTTCGGGTGTAGGGTTCAAGAAAAACCGAAGTCATTACCAACATCATTCCTTAGCGTTCCTTGTAATTGTAGCATGAAGGAGCCAAAAACTACCCTATTCTAATGTGTGCATGTCTGAAGGTGTTGCTTCCTTGGAGAGTGGGGGAAGACCGAAGGATAGCCGTTGAAGGGTCTCCCAAACACTTTCAGGGTTTAGGGCTTTAGGGGTTCAGGGTTTAGGGGTTTAGGGGATTAGGGTTTCGGGGCCTGCATCGCAACATGTACAAGAATCGGAAACTCGAGCACTACTAAATTCTGAAAGCCGCCATATGCCTACACGATCGATTGCACATCCATCAACAACACTCCCCAAACCCTAAACCCTAAACCCTAAAACCCTAAACCCTGAAACCCTAAACCCTAAAACCCTAAACCCCAAACCTTTAAAGCCTAAGCCCTAAACCTTGGGAGTTTGGGTCTCTGGAGCAGGTTTGGGTTCACGGACGTAGGCTGCAATCCGAAACCCCACACACCTAACCCTACTATAGGGCCTGAATAATTACCCATACTTATGTTGGGGGGCTCCTTATTACAGTTTTAGTTTAGTATACCCCCAAAACCCTATTGAAATAATCATATAGTAGGGTTAGTCATATCTATAGTATAATATACCCCCCAAAACCCTACTCTGATTCTTAAAGGCCCAGTCTTGCGCTTCTGGCTTTGGATCCAAGGCAGGAGGGCATCCTCGCGACCAGCGATGGGCCGGGAAGGCTGCGCAGCTTTGCCGTCGAGCCATGGATGTACCCTAAACCCTAAACCCTAAACACCTAAACCCTAAACCCTAAACCCTAAACCCTAAACCCTAAACCCTAAACACCTAAACCCTAAACCCTAAACCCTAAACTGCAACCCAGAAAGCCCAAAGTCCCCGGGGTTTAGGGTTTAGGGTTTTTAGGGTTTAGAAGTTTAGGGCTTAGGGTTTAGGGTTTAGGGTTTAGGGTCCTAAACCCAATACAAGGTTTCGGGGTTTGGGGTTTAGGGTTTTGGGTTTTTGGGTTTGGGGTGTAGGGTTTAGGGAATTAATAAAGGAATGTACCGGGTTTAGTGTTTAGGGTCAAATGTCATGTTCTGGCCCCTGTAACTTAAGTTGATATACCCTAATCAAGGGGCATTGGGCTCTCTGGCAATACATACATACATACATACCATACATACATACATACATACATACATACATACATACATACATACATACATACATACATACATATTATATACATATATATACACATATATACATAATACCAATACACTTGCATTTCTTACATAGGGTTCCTTATCTCCAAAACTTCCTGATTCTACATTCTTCGGAAGCTAAACCGAACTTTTAGCTGCCCCCCCCCTATGAGGCACTAGTAGCTGGGCAAGCAGAAAGCTTTCTGAAGGTAATGGGCAAACTCATGCATTACCTTCCATGTCCTTTGTCTGAGAACTGTGGTCTGTTCCTTACTGTCGATATTGCCATGCGCACTGCACCTTACTAGGGTCTCGTGCACCCAGCAGAGTCCCTGAGCTGAGGACAAGATGGCGCCAATAGGACCCTAAACCCTAAGCCGTAAGGACGGAGCAATAACATTTCCTGTGAACCTCAGCCGGGAACCCTGACATGGATGAGATAGATCTAAAAACCCTAAACCCCTGAACCCCAAAGCCCTAAAAAACATTGAACCCCGAAGTCTCTACACCCTCAACCCTTTGTGCTGCGCTGTATGATGCTGTGGGTTTCGGGCTGTTGGCTTGACGGGTTGAGGCCCATGAAAAAATGCTCTCGCATTCGGAAGCCTACCGCTGGCAGCCAACGTCTTCAGGGTTCAATTCTTCGGATACCGTCGTCACAACGGTTTCATACCAGAGCCGTTCGGGCATATTGGTTATACTCAAGGTGAGCCCTAGTTAAAACGAATTGCACCCAGCATGCACGGGAGCTACCTGTGGTCTCCATTGTAGTTCTTTTTTGGGGTACCTTATAAAATGCTTAATATATAATTGGTTAAACCAAAAAAGGAACTACAATGGAGACTGTAGGTACTATAGGCAAGCCTTCCCATCACCACTCCCTCCCGACACGAAAGCCTCGATCCGAGCACCACTACTATCGCTTGGTACTAGGTTCCTGAGTAGTACCCTTTTGCCCTTTTTATTGTACCTATAGGGTCATACTCTACCCTTTTTTAAGGTACCTAGTTTAATGGCTAGGGTCTGCTATATAAAAAGCTAGGTACCCTAAAAAAAGGGTAGGGTATGACCCTATAGGTAATGCACCCTTATTGAAACTGAATAACAGGCAACAGGGTACCCTTATTATTAAGGGGTCACTCAGGAACCTAGGGTAGGTCAGCCTATACGTACCTGAGTTGTTGCTTATAGTTATCTTACTCACAGCCCTAGTTACGAAATCCCCTGATCCGCTAAGCAATCCTAAGCCCCCGCAGGCGCACATATAAAGCGAAGAGAAGCAGCATAATTAGACTAGGGTCCTGGTTGCTTCTATATTACAAACCCTTTGAGAATGATTTCTTTAGATATGCAGGTTTCCGAAACTAGGGGACCCTAATCTAGTATACTAAATACAAGTAGTAGGATCCTTATTATACGGACCCCCAAAATAATATACCCTTTATTTTGGGATGTTTGTAGACGTCTTGAATCCTGAGACTCAGCCCCTAGCCCTTTGCACCTACACTGAAAACCAGACCCACCAACGTTTAGGGTTTAGGGGTTTAGGTTTTTGGGTTTAGGGTTTAGAACCTCCCAAAGGAACCCTTGGAAGAACCTGAAAAAAGAACTCTGGTTTGGGGATTCGCCAGCTCTATGAACAACCTGTGAGGCAGATCACCATGAGCTTCGATGGGGCCGATGTGGCTTCTCGTCAGCACACTGGTCTTGGGCTTCAGATGTTCAGGATGTTCATTGTTTGCCTTCAGGCTTGTTCTGATGATTAGGGATTTTTAGGACTATAGGTTCTCAGGGTTCAGGGTTTTCGGCTTCCAAAGATCTGGCATGAGGTCGGCATCCACATCTTCCTGCACAAAGAGCGCGGAAATGTGGTCGACTGGCAGTGCCTTGGCACTAATTCCTAGACCCTCCATGCTCAGAGCCCTACAATCCCCAAAACACTTAACCCCTGAAGCCGTAAACCCTAAACGGCACAAGCGGTAATTACACACCCTATTTTTACCCACACTCTCCATTGGCCTCACGAGCCTTTGGAATCTTGTTCAAGGGCGTGTAGCCGAACTTCCGAATTAATCTGAATTCAAATCTGATCTGCTGGAAAAGCACACAGTTCGTCCCATGACCGAGTGACAGAAGCAAAGGGCTTGGTTCTGACTATTTATATATTCATATATATATATACACATATGTGCAAACTTACATGTTTTCATATATATATATATATATGTACACACACACCGAAGCCTTTAAACCCGAATTGCCCTGAAGCGCTCAACCCCAAACTGTGACACGCATTTTACGGCCTGAGACCTTAGAGCCCTAAGCCACAAAATGCAAAAGCCAAAAAAAGCCAAAGTCTAGACGCCCCTAAACCACACAAACTCTAGACTCTGAACACTAAACTCTGTTTCCGAGCAGCATTCTTGTGCTGATGCTCGACTGACCTCTGCCACCCCGAAACCGAAAGCAACCACAACTCTCTGCGGACATTCATATAATGTTTGTCGGTAGGGCATTGTGTAAAGGCAAAAATACTAGGAAAAGAGAGTCTCTCAATGCTTCAGATTGTTCAACACCATCAGCCCTTCGATCCTGACCATATAGACAGAATCCCTAAAACCCTTAACCCTAAACCCCTAAAACCCTCAGACGAAAACCCTAAACCCCTTAACCCTAAAGCCCTAAAACCCTCAACCCTAGACCCTACAGGGTCGAACGTGCAGTGGTTTTGGGGTTCCAGTTCTGTGCCCTGAGGATGGTACACAAGTCGGGGCGAGTGGGGCCGCGAGCAACCAGGACAGCTTTGGTGGGTAGCGAGGAGTCTGAAAACAGTTTTGCAAAATACCCTAAACCTTATAAGGCGTGAAGCCTTAGCCCTAAACCTGAAACGAAAATCCGAAACATGTTGTAAGGCACCTGCCAGTTGCAGATGCCCAGGGGTGCTAGAGTATATTCTCACGATTATTACTACCGTTATTGTTAGTATTACTGTGGTTATTGCTGTTATTGCTATACCCTCTAGTCACGACCGCACAGGGTATTTTCGTCCTTGCAAACTGTTGGGCTCTTGCTCACACCACCCGAGGCCTTATAGACCCAGTGGGGCGTTCATTTCGGGAGAGTATTGTGCTAAAAAGTATCCAAAACCCTAAACCTAGACCTTAGCAATAATTATAAGTCTGCACTTGATTATGAGATGTCTCGACTTGTTTAGAACTCTGGAAGATTCTGGAAAGGAGAGGTCTTCGAGCGGAGAATCTCGGATGTGAGTTCGACGATCTGAAAAACAGCAGCCCTTCAATTACTTGCCTCCCACACCCGCAAGCCGAAATAGATGAACTGCCTAACCTTATAATGAAGACATCGGCAACACTTATTATATAATCCTACACTAGTCAGTAATTCATCATGCTTGTCAATGCCTTTCAACCTGTGCTGCTGGCAGACCAGGCCAGACCATGCCATGTTGAAGGCCTTTGCTACCTTATTCAGTTGGTTTTCATCTGTTGTTTCGTCGTGGGGAGCCATGTCACCTTCCCCTAAAACGTGCGCCGCCGCTGAAGTCAGCCAGAGCGAACCCACTCCACACTCCACACTGTCACAGACTGACCCGTTTTCCCGAAAGCCGCAAAGTTTTTGTTGTTTGAACTTGGAGGTGGGGGCTCTGTTGATAGGGCAGTGGCTCGTTTTCGGTTTCGACCTCGTGGGCAATGACTCCCGGATCTAAGTTTGTTGAGCAGGTTCTTTGCGCATGTTCTTGGTCCGCCGAGTCCTGTCTCGAATGGTGTCACGTCGCACTGGAATTCTGGATTTGGGTCGCGAATCGCGCATCAGGGGCATGTCTTCGTCGTGTCGCATGCTCGTGTTTTCGCCTCCAACAGGAAAGCCGAGACCTGTCTCGGATGGGAGGTTCATGGGTAGTTATAAGTAGGGTTATAAGTCCCCTGATATGGGCTATAATTGCAGTTACCCAACTTATAACCCCACTTGTAACTACCCATGAACCTCCAAGTGGATGTTGTCTTGTTTTGCCATCTGTCGACAGGCCATGTCTCCATCCCCAAAACAGTGCTCTACAAACTGGAATTTCCATTAGCTTGCGGCAAAACAGACCTGCATGTTGGAGTCCTCCAAGAGCCTGCTTCAAATCGAGAGTTTCCAAATGCTGATAGCTTGTCGCCGAACAGAGCCCTGCAATATGAAATTCCCCAATGGCCCACAACAGTTTGCCAGGACCCAATATGTTTTTGAAAAAGTTGATGCTACAAACAGTAAACTAGACTTAGCTTGCACCAGAGCAGCACAACGGAGGCCATGGACAAGGCGAGCGTTTGGGGGATAGGTTTGGGCACCCAACTGATCAGCGTATCCGTGTGTGTGTGTGTATGTTTGCGTTTGTCTGTGTTTTCATACCTATATACACACATATATCTATACACATACATATCTATAGATATAATGCGGGTTGTGTATGTGTAAGATGACATACACAGCAGGGGTACGTATGGGCAGGTTCTCGGATTTAGGTAAAGTTTACGATGGAGCTGAACTTCGGATTAATGTGCCGATGTAAACAGAAGTTCATCTTACCCGAACCATATAATCGTCAGTCCGTTGTAGAATCCTGCCTTTACTCGAGCTTCCTGCGTTTTAAGGCCCTAGACCTTGAGCCCTCAGCCCGCACATACAAAAGCCGTTACGGGGTGCAGTTGTTCAAACTTTGACATGTTTTGACTATGGAAATGGACAAGACGGAACTTCGGAGATTGAGCTTTGGGTTTGGGTTGATGGCTCAGGGGCCCTGGGGCGTCCGCTCTGACAAAAAAGACAGGAGCCCCAATGCTGGTCAGAAAGAGACCCTCTGGTTCTTGGATCATTTCCACGGCTTGCAGTTCGCTGAGTGACTTCGGCCCGTTGTGGTGGGTTTGGGATTTAGGAGTTTGGGATTGAAACTGCAGACTAAGATCCCCACTCCCATGTCGTGCAAACTGCAGACTAAGATTCCCCACTCGCGTGTCGAAGCACAACCCCGGACGCGAACACAACGGCACTCTCCATCCACACATACACCGTCAACAAATCTGCGTTTCTGTGACTATGGCGCGGAAGGGGCCCTGTGCCGAGAACTTCGAGCACGCCATCCAGAAAGATCGAAAGAATTACCTTTACCTGTTATGCCAGGACGACGACGGATGGAATGGACTCGAAGGCACTCTTGCTCCGCGCGTGGTCGCATTTTCGAGTTCTGGGATATAGGCTGGGGTGGACGTCTTCTTTCATTGTCTGAGAGTCTGGGGTCTATGCTAGCGCAATGATTGAGGGGTTGAAATGTAGTCTAACGTTTACGATTCCGGTGTTGGGACCGTCCGGGCTTTGGGGCTTAGGAATGAAGCGCACTCTTTGTCGGGCTTGTGCAATGTTTCGACATGTTGGCATGAACAATTTAGCGTAGCCCGGGACTGCCAACAACATTTTTGAGCCGAGCCGAAAATCCCACCACAACCTTAAAGACTTGAACCCTTCATGAAACATCCCAAGATCCTGACCCAGCAGCCCAACCCCTAAAACTTAAACCCCAAAGCTTTCAATCTCCGAACTTTGCCTAGGACCCATGAGGGTTCTTTAGAAACAACGTAGAGGACATGTCAAAGACACTACTGCAATAGCGAGAAAGCTAAACTGTCATTTAGTGTTTACTTAAGTACTTCAACATGGGGAGTTGTAAAATGCGGCCATAGGTACACTCAGGCAAAGTTTGTTCCACTTCCAGTAGCCTTTAAAGGCCTGGCTGAGGGACTTAATTTAAGTTCCAGCCAGGCCTAAATTAAATCCACAATCTTCTAAGTCGGCCCCGGTTACTTTCATGAAATGCCCAGGTTGGATCAGAAAGGCATCGTGGACGTGGGTATCCTCGACCCACCCTGGTTCTGCGAGGCATCGTTTGCGTTGCTTGTTTTGACGGGGGAGTGTTTTGGAGTTTATGGGTTCAGTGTGCAGTGTTTAAAGCTTCGGACCGTGGTTTGGGGTGGTCTTATGATACGGTTTGTCATGTCATTAGCTCGTCTCTGTGGCCTTTGAATTGTGAAAACAGAAGTAGAGAGTACTCTTGCATGCAATTCTTTCTATCTACCGAAATGAATTGAAACAGCCTGCACAACACGCACACACACAAACACACACACACACACACAAACGAATCTGCGAGAGAAACATACGTCAATTTCGCCTGCGTAACACTCCTTATTTTGCATTTTTCTTTCGTGATTAGATGTTTTGTCTTATGCCCATGCCACTGGCAAGTGTGGAGCTAAGGGTTTAGGGTTTTGGTTGGTTTGAGGGCACGCCCTCACTCAGCTGGTTTGAGTGCTTGGGTTGGCACGCTTGGAGCTGTCGGGAGTCAAACCCGAACATCGGGGGCTCACACCTCGAACCTTTACACCTTCAGCCTTAAATAATCTAAACCACAAAAGCGTCAAACCTTAATCCAGAAGGATCTCGCGCAGGGTGTTAAGGCATGAATATGGGTGCGACGAGCAGGACTGGAATGACAAGTAATAATAATGTCCCCCGCTAGTCCATGTGTATATGTCCTTATATGGTTATAGTATGTTATAATACTATATTCGACCCCCAAAAACCCTAATTTAATTCTGCGCCAGAAGAGGCCTTTTTTTCTCAGCCATGGTCGTGTCAATATGTTGGGACGGATTTAAAGTTTAGGACTTGGGGTCTGTTGGATCTAGGGTAGTGCTTGCCTCGCAGATTTGCGCACGCCGTTTTCCCAGCTAGTGTGCGTGCAGGCCTTGAACACTTGCCATGAGAGCTGGGGCAACTATCGCAAACTCCTGAATGAAATCTTCACAACAACGACGACAACAACAGTATTCTCGCGAAGACGGCCCTGAACCGTGAACACTATACCGTATAGACGCAGCAAGCAAACCTCCGAAACCGCGGTTGCGGATTTTGGTTTAGGGTCTGGGGGTTCGCTTTTAGGCTTCGGGCTTAGGTTGTAGGGTTGAGCTTTATAGGTTTTGGGTTTGGGGTTGTGGAATTTAGAGTTTCTACGACCTTAGGTGTAGTGTTTTATTACTAGCCCCAAAAGCCCTAAACCCTAAACCGTAGCACGGCCTAGCAGATGCCCAAGAGGCCTGCTGGAACCAGCTGCAGCTGCGGCAGTACAGGTCGCAGCAGTATTTGCTGCCTTGGCCCAACTACAAGCAGCCCGACACGCAGGGTTTAAGGTTTAGTGTTTTGCACTGTCGCCATAAAGATAGAATGAGGCTGTAACGAACCACGATCTTCAGGACATGCTACTACTGCAACTGCTGCTACTGCTACTGCTACTGCTACTGCTACTGCTACTGCTACTGCTACTACTACTACTACTACTACTACTACTACCACTACTACGACGACGACGACTACTACTGCTACTACTACTATTA